TAGTCAGTTTCTACCTGGGAACAGTTACTGACGTGTACACACATGTACACCCATTAACGTGGCTTCTCAATCACATGTTCCCCATCTTCTAAGATACATTTTTTCATGGTGTGGTGGTGTAAAAGACCTACCCAGGCAAGATAGGTGGTGTAAAAGACCTATCTGCCTGGGTACAAAGGGCTTTCACATACAGAAAGGTAACAAAAAGAAGAATTTTTTCCCTCTGATCTCTTTAATGGTGTCTCAGGGTTATTTGTAACAATAGTAGATACACTGAAGATAGAAATATTGTTTTAAATGATGTCATTTTTAAGTCTTCCAGAACTGAGATAACTGCAGAGACTGCATATAGTTTGTATACTGTATATAAGTTGATTTTAAAGTTGAATGGATCTCATTCTTACTGCCCACTAGTGACTTGGCATATCTACTTGCAGATCAGGGATTTGATTCCTCCCTAGCGCAAGTCAGCCAAAGTAAATGAAGCAACACAAGGCACGAGCTTTATGACTGCTTACAGATTGTAAACCCCCCCCCCCCCCAAAACAGCACTTTACTTTAAATTTGGTGTGCCCCCACACCGAGTGCAGTACATGCCCAGAAGAGGTACCACATTAGTTTGACCTGGCTCACCCAATGTCCGTATAGATCAGGTGCTTGAGCAGAGCTGTTTGGCATTTTTATGTAATAGATAATTGAATCAGCTTTAGATAAAAGTGCCAAAAGCTTTGCTGAAGCACCCAATTTATAGAGATGTTGTGGAGCCAGGTCTAAATAATGTTTAGACCTCCCTGTTCTGGTAAAGTGCCTTTTTTTGTTCTTGTTTTTTCACGTCTGTGAGGAACCTATGAGTTTATGTGCCATATGTTCTCACATTCAATTCACACTCTTTTCCATAATTTAGCTGCTGGTAATTGGCTGTACATTATAAGTGTGGAAATACAGTAACAGTAGTTTCTGTCTATACAGGGGATGGTGGGAGGTAAGAGGGAAGAAAGGGGAGGGAGCAAAAGTAACATTACAGTACTGCAGGTGAGGTTGCCTTGCTGCTGGTTATAGACATTTTCTCTTTCCCCCAGCAGAGGCTCTGCTGCAGAAGCTACTACACAGTTACTTACTGCTACTTACCAATATTCTCAAGATAAGATCTTTTCAAAAAAATTATTTTGCCTTTCAAAAACAGGGTGCATATTTTATTCAAGTGTGAGTTGGTTGTTAGAAAATACAGTATACAGTTGCCAGCCCTGCTCCCATTACAATTTTTGAGAGTAGGATGGAGTCCCCACATAAATCATGAGCTGGAAGGAACCTGTGCCTGCCCTGCATCTGCAATGGCTTGGGCTGCCTCTGAGTGAGGTGCTGAGTTGCAGTGACAGGCTGTTTGTGGTAGGCACATGCTCTCCAGCAGCAATGGGAATCCTTTTGCTAACTGGGCATTCCAGTTAAACACTCAGATACTAAGGTAATGGGATTGGTTACTTTAGTTAGATCGATTTGCTGATCTCCGCCCCGGTTGTATAAACTGTGCTGTTCACACCACAATCAGTAGGCACTTCTACTGCTGCTGGTGCTGTTCTTTTCTACTTCTGTATCTTCCCAGCCCTGAGAGTTGCTTTTCCCTCATCCTCTCCAGGAGGCCTTGTTGTTCAGGAGTTAAGATAGGTCTTGATCCATAACTCTCCTATCTCTTCTCTCCATGGGAGAGGGTGATTTTCAGATAGGATGAGCACCATTCACTTCAGGTGGTAGCATGAGGGCTCAGCATCTCCGCAATTCAAGCTCTTAGGAGGAGATTCTCAAATAAATTGGGCCCGTTAAACTCATGTTTTGTGCTGTCCATTTCTCATGTAAGTGTCACATTGGAACCTAGTGAGTGTGAACCTTTTGGGATTTCTAGCTCTTGTTCTAATGATTAAACGGGAGCTGAGGTCTTTTCACCCTGACCTGGATTGGAAGTCCTGAGTGCTTGAAAATCTGCCCTGGTTTGGAGAATCTAGCCATGTATGCATATGTCTGAGCACTCAAAAATTGAGGTGTCCAAAATTAGGTTCTTTGCTTCACTTCATGTTATTTTTTTCCTCTGTGAACTTAGCTTAAAAAAACTAGTTCTATACCATTCAGGGATGTCATTTGATAACATCAGTAAAGAATCTTGAGTTTCAGAAGTACAGAGTAATATTGTTGTCTCCATTTTCTGGACAACAAGATTCAGAGGATCCCACAAAGCCCAGCAAAACTATGATTGCCAGTCCACAGCAGTCTGTGGAGGTCCATCTTTATTAGGGATAGAAGTCCTGGGGTCTCACTTTAATTTATTTCATTTGAAAACATATGTCATCTCTAAAACAAACATATAACAATATTTTTAAAAGGTCTGATATTGGTATCAGAGTCTGGGAATAAAATACCCCATAGAAGTTCAGAAAAATCTTAACTGTTTTAGACGTACAACTGGCAGGCTAGGGCCAGACATTCAAAAAGCCTGAGCCTGAATTGATTCAATCTTTGCAGGTTAGTCTAACCTGGCTAGGCTTAACTGGTTTGTAACTGGACAGACATGCTCTCTGGATTGAGGAAATGCCAGCACATGCCTGCAGTGGCTCAGGCTAGAAGCTGGGGCCCTTAGAGCAGCCCTCCTTTCCCTTACACAGTACTGAGCTGAGGGGGATGTGGCTAGGCCCTGGCAGGACATTCTGATTAGACAGGTCTGCCTGCACCATCCCAGGCTTTTCCCCGCTGGCTGCTCAAAGGGTGGGAGTGTTGCCACACCCAGCCCCCTGCTAGCACTCTGAGGCAAGGCGGGTGTGTGTAATACATGCATCTGTTGATGATACGGAGCTTTTCAATCTCTCCCCCTGCTTGATACTGTCTGCAGCAAACTGACAGGCAAGCAAGCCAGCAGGGAGTTGATAACAGTGTTTATCACCCCATCAGCA